TCCTCTAACTGTCTGTAACTCTACCTCTCAAATAAAAAAAAAAATCTTCAAAAAAATAAATAAAACAAATGTTAATGATCTAAAGGGAGACATAGACTCCAATACAATAATAAAGGAGAACTTCAACATTCCACTTTCATCAATGGACAGATCAACTAGACAAAAAAATTAACAAAGAAACAACAGAGCTAATCCACACTACAGATCAAACAGACCTGATATCTACAGAACATTTCACCCCACAGCTGCAGAATACACATTCTATTCATCAGTGAATGAAACGTTCTCTAGGATACCACCAGGCTATAAATGAAGTCTCAACAAATTAAAAAAAATTGGAATCATACCATGTGTCTTTTCTGACCACAATGGAATGAAGCTGGAAATTAACAACTTAAGACACTCTAGAAAATAGGCAGACAAAAGGAGACTGAACAAAACATGCTCCTGAAGAACAGTGAGGCACAGAAGAAATCAGCAGGAAATAAAAAAATTCCTGGCAATGAATGAACATGAAAACATAAATATCAAAACTTACAGGATACAGAAAAAGCTGTATTGAGACAGAAGTTTAGGGGCCAGTGCCATGGCACTGAAAGTTAAGCCTCTGCATGCAGTGCCAGCTTCCCATATGAGTGCCGGTTCAAGTCCTGGCTGCTCCAATTCCTATCCAGCTCCCTGCTAATGTGCCTGTGAAGGCAGCAGAGGATGGCCCAAGTGCTTGGGCCCCTGCATCCACGTGGGAGAACCAGAAGAAGCTCCTGGCATTTGCCAGGCCCAGTCCTGGCCATTGTGGACACTTGGGGAGTAAATCAGTGAATGGAAAATCTCTCTCTCTCTACCTCCCCCCTTTTCTCTCTGTATTTCTGCCTTTCAAATAAATAAATAAATCTTTTTTAAAAAAGAGGGAAGTTTATAGTAATCAGTGCTTACATCAAGAAATTGGAAAGGCATTAAATAAACAATCTAACAATGCATCTCAAGGACCTGTAAAAACAGGAGCAGACCAAATCCAAAATTAATAAGAAGAAACAAATAATTAAATTAAAAAAGAAATAAACAAAATTGAAACCCCCAAAAAAGATATAAAAAATTAGTGAAATGAAGAGCTGTTTAAAAAAAATCAAAAAAAACTGATATACCATTGTCCCAACTGACCAAAATCAAAAACAACCCAAATTAAAAAAAAAAAGCAAAAAAAGCAAAGATGAAAAAGAGGATGTTACAATGGATACCACAGAAATAAAAAGAATCATCAGGAATTATTACAAACATTTATATGCCAATAAAGTGGAAAATCCAGAAGAAACAGATTTCTGGACACATACAATCTACCAAAATTGAGTCACAAAGACATAGGAAACCTAAGTAGACCAATAACCAAGATGGGGATTGAATCAGTAATAAAGACCCTCCTGACAAAGGATATCTGAGGACTGGAAGGCTTAATTGCTGAATTCTATCAAATTTTTAACGGAGAATTAATTCCAATTCTTCTCAAACTATTCAAAAAAATTGAAAAGGATGGAATCCTCCCCTACTCATTCTCTGAGTCTAGTATTACCTTAATTCCAAAACCCGAAAAATATACAATAAAGAAAGAGAACTATAGATCAATATGCCTGATGAACACAGATGCAAAAATCTTCAACAAAACACTAGCTAATCAAATCTAACAACACATCAGAAAATTCATTTATCTGGACCAAGTGGGATTTTTCCCTAGGATGCAGTCATGGTTCAACATACCCAAATCAATAAATCTGATACGTCACATTAACAAGTTTAAGAATGGAAACCATATGATTATCTCAATAGATGCAAAGGGAGCATTTAATAAAATATTATATCCTATCATGACAGACACCTTAAGCATATTGGATATAGAAGAAACATTCCTTAACCAGTCAAGACAATATAGGACAAACCCGTAGTCAGCATCATATTGAATGCGGAAATGTTGGAAGCATTTCCACTAATATCCAGAACCAGTCAAGGATGCCCACTCATCACTGCTATTCAATATAGCTCTGGATGTTTTAGCCAGAGCCATTAGGCAAGAAAAATAAATCAAAGGGAAACAAAATGGAAAGCAAGAAGTCAAATTATCCCGCTTTGCTGATCACATATAAAAGGAAACCAAAAGATTCCACTAAGAGACTACTGGAACTTGTAAGAGAGTTTGATAAACTGGCAGGTTATAAAATCAACACACAAAAAATGAATGGCCTTTGTATACACGGACAATGTCATGGCTGAGAAAGAACTTGTAAGATCAGCATGATTCACAATAGCTATCAAAAAACTTAAATACCTTAGTGGCTGGCACTTTGGTGTAGTGGGCTAAATACACTTCTGTCTGCAGCACCAGCATCCCATATTGGCACTAGTTCATGTCCTGGCTACTCCTCTTCAGATCCAGCTCTCTGCTGTGGCCTGGGAAAGCACTGGAGGACAGCCCAAAGTACTTAGACCTCTGTATCCATATGGGACACCCAGAAGAAGCTCCTGGGTCTGGCTTTGGATCAGCCAAGCTCTGGCTATTGTGGCCATTTGTGGAGTGAACAAGCAGATGGAAGAACTTTCTGTCTGTCTGTCTCTGTCTCTCTGTAGCTCAAATAAATGGATGGATCTTTAAAAAAAATTTAAATACTTTGGAATAAATCTGATTAAGGATGTGAAAGATCTACAATGAAAATTACAAAACATTACAGAAAGAAATAGAAGAAAACAAAAAAAAAATGAAAAATCTTCTCTGTTCAAGGATTGGGAGAATAACATCAAAATATGCATACTACCTAAAGCAATTTACAGATTCAATGCAGTGGCAATCAAAATACCAAATAATATCAAAATACTATGGAAAAAAATGATGCTAAAATTCATACGGAAACACAAGACACCTAGAATAGCTAAAGCATTCCTAAACAATAAAAACAAAGCTGGAGGCATCACAGTACCAGATTTCAAGACATACTCAGGGCAGTTTTAATCAAAACAATGTAGTACTGGCATAAATATAGACATGCAGACCAATGGAACAGAACAGAAACCCCAGAAATTCATCCATGAATGTATAACCGACTAATCTTTGAAAATGAATTAAAATAAATCCCTGGAGAAAGGACAGTCTCTTAAACAAATGGTGCTGGGAAAATTGGATCTTCTCATGCAGAAGTATGAAACAAGACCTCTACCTTACACCTTATACGAAAATCAACTCAAAATGGATCAAAGACCTAAATCTATGACCTAAGACCATGAAATTTCTAGAGGAAAACATCAGAGAAACTCTGCAAGACACTGGCATAGGCACAGAGTTATTGGAAATGACCCCAGAGGAACAGGCAATGAAAGCAAAAATAGACAAATGGGATTACATCAAGCTGAGAAGTTTCAGCACTGCAAAGGAGACACTAATCAAAGTTAAGAGGAAACTGATGGAATGGGAGAAAATATTTGCAAACAATGCAACTGATAGACATTTAATATCCAGAATCTATAAAGAGCTCAAGAAACTCCACACAACAAAACAATCCAGTTAAGAAATCAGCAAAAGAACTTGAACAGGCATTTTTCAAAGGATGAAATTCCAATAGCAGAGACATAAAAAAATTCTCAGCATCACTAGCCATCAGGAAAAAATAAGTTTATTTTGATGCCAAATTTTTGAGACTCTATACTTGTATTTCTAATACAGCAGGCTGATTCTTTGCACATTTCACTTTTTTTCCAGAGTTATTTGTATTTTCCTTGTTTCATTACATTCTAAAAGAGGTAATAGTCAAAATTAGTTATCAATAAATGATCGATAATAAAAAACAAGTAAATAAATAAATAAAACCAAAAAAGGCATTCTAATTGCCTCTATAAGTTCATATAAGCTGGGTACTTTTTAAGAGTGTCTGATTCTACAAATTAATTCATATTTTAAATACATTGAGTTATCTTACTATTCAAGCCTATTTTATCTTCAGTATAACTCAAACATTCATGAATTTAGTTTGAAATATAAAATCAGTATTATATGTGTAACTTAATCCTGGGTGCTAGTGCCTGATTTTGCTTAATATAGGTTTTTTTTAAATTAACAAACAGAAGCTAACTTTTCTTTCTTTGTTTTTTTTAAAAGACTTATTTATTTGAAAGTCAGAGTTACAGAGAGAGAGGGAGAGACACAAAGAGAGAGATCTTTCATCTGCTGGCTCACTCCTCAGATGGTCACAACATCCAGGGCCAGGCCAAAGCCAGGAGCTAGGAGCTTCCTCCAGGTCTCCCACATGGGTGCAGGGGCCCAAACACTTGGGTCATCTTCTGCTGCTTTTCCCAGGCCATTAGCAGAGAGCTGGATCGAAAGTGAAGCAGCTGGAATACAAATTGGTGCCTGTATAGTATGCTGGCATCTCAGGAAGCAGCTTCACCCCCTATACCATAATGCTGGCCCCTAATATATGTTTTATTTATTTATTTATTGGACAGGCAGAGTTAGGCAGTGAGAGAGAGACAGAGAGAAAAATTAAATCTTTTTCATTTAATATCTATTTTTTAAAATAAATATTTTAGAGTCTTAGTAGAAATTATCTTTAGTGTTTAAAAGCATATATTAGGGGCCAGCGCCACGGCTCATTAGGCTAATCCCCGGGTTCTAGACCCGGTTGGGGCACTTTTCCTTTTTCCATTGGTTCAGCCCCCAAGTGGCCATTGCGGCTGGTGCGCTGCGCCAATCCGAAGCCAGGAGCCAGGAGCTTCCTCCTGGTCTCCCATGAGGGTGCAGGGCCCAAGCACTTGGGCCATTCTCCACTGCCTTCCCAGGCCACAGCAGAGAGCTGGCCTGGAAGAGGAACAGCCGGGACAGAATCGGCGCCCCAACCGGATATATGCTTTTAAACACTAAAGATAATTTCTACTAAGACGATAAAATATTTATTTTAAAAAATAGATATTAAATGAAAAAGATTTGATTTATTTTTATGCACTGTCACTTATACAAGACTTCATACCTTTTCACCATCTTGTTTCTCCAGGTGTGGCTGGGTTTCTGGCACTGGCCTGGCATCTTTATCACTGCTTTCATCCTCAAATTCAATCACTTTCTGCTCTGGTTCTTCTTCCAGGAATTCTTCTGAGCTCTCTGATGTGCGTGCAGTAGCGTCCAATCTAGAAAACAAAATATTCTTATTTGTTTTATTAAGGATACATATAAATGTTCAGGAATTCTTTCTTTAAAATAATTTTTAAATTTATTTTTATCTGTGTGAAAGGCAGAAAGACAGAGAGGCAGGGAAGGAGAGGGAGAGTGCATTTGGACTATGAACAAGTGAAAGGAATTCTTTCTTAATAATAAAGTGATATTTTAGGGTGGGCATTTGGTGTAGTGATTAAGACACCAGAGTGCTTGGGTTCCAGTTCCTGCTCCGTTTCCAATCCATCTTCCTGTTAATAACCTGGGAAGCAGCAGGCTCTCAGTACCCTATTTACTTGGGTCCCTGCCAGCCGCATGTGGGACCTGGACAGAGTTCCAGGCTTCTGGCTTCAGGCTGGCCGACCTCCAGCTGTTAGAGGCATTTGGGTATTAAACTACTACATGGAAGATCTCTTGGTCTACTTTTCAAATAAAGTGAAAATAAATTTAAAAGCATTTTTTAAAGTATCAATTTAGAGAATCAAATAAGTTGATTTAAAAAACTCAGTAACTTCAGATTTCATAGGTTCAAAGCCAATTTCTTCATCCTCTTACATTCTCTTTCCCACCTTGTTCTCTAGTTCAGTTATTGACATCATTATCTCTCAATGCTACAAACCAGGCCCTTCTTTTATCTACATTTTGTTTGAGCCTTTTCTTTCCCATGTTACCTACGACAGTCTCAGTTTACAGCTTTTGCCAACAGCTATGAACACTGGCATCATTATTAATAATGCGCTTTCCATCCTCAAAAACTCCAGGTTGGACAATAAATTATTTTTGTCTCTAAAATGCCTTTCAAATAAACCTCTAATTTTCTATTCCTATTTTCATAGCCCTGCTTCAGACCACAATTTTCTTTGTACTGCTGTAACTTTTTCTCAGCTTATCTTCAGACTTTTAGTGTATTCCTTTCTTTCTTTTCTTTTATTGAAAATCGGAGAGAAAAAGCAAGCATGCATAAGCTCCCAACCACTGGTTCTCGTCCCACTTCCCAAAAGTCCACTGGGAGCTGCAAACTCAATCTGGGTCTCCCACGTGGATGGCAGGAACCTAGTCATGTGGGCAATCACTACTGCCTCCAGAAAAGCACTAGCAGGAACTAGAGCTGGTAATCAAATCTAGGTACTCCAGTGTGGGATGTTTACATCCCAACTAGCGTCTTAGGCATCAGGTCAAATACACCCCATCCTATTAACACCCTCCCCTGTTCCACCTCTATGGCCACCCATTCTTCATTAAGGCTTTCAAGCTGTCTCTATTAACTACACCCCCCCCACCCCCACCCCCACCCCCACATACATATATATGCGACAGCCCAGCTCAAAAACTTCTGGTGTTTTTCTGTAACTCACCTCAATTCAAGGTCTAAAATGAACAGCCTCTTACATTTTTATTTTCTACTAGATGCTACTACCACTTACCTTATATATCAGTTATCCTTATAAACATTCACCTTAATTTCATGCCTTTGTTTATACTACTACCTAGTACTATAGCTCTACTAATATAGAAGCCACAAGATGCATATTTTAATCTTATTTCACCCTATTTCATATTTAAACTAAGTAAATCAAATGAAATAAAAATTTCACTTCTTCATGTTCAATAGCACACTTCAAATGCTTGGTGGGCACACTGGATAGTGGCTACCAAACTGGCACTGTGAAATACAGAACACACCCACTATTACAGAAAACTCTACTGGACAGCCAGGTTAGTTCAGGGGTCAGCAAACTTTTCAACCAGGCTTTGTGACCCAGACAATCTGTGTCCTAACTACTCAACTTTGCCATTGTAATACAAAATCAACAACAATAAAAAATTTACATAAACCTGGTGCCAGTGTTGTGGCACAGTGGGTTGTTAGGCCACTGCTGGTGATGCTAGCATCCCATATAGGCATGCCAATAGAATCCCTGGCTGCTGCATTTTCAATCCAGCTCTCTGCTAATTTAGTGCCTGGAAAAGCAACAGGTGACAGCTAAAGTATTTGGGCCCCTGCCACCAACATGGCAGAGGAAGATGGAGTTCTAGGCTCCTGGTTTTAGCCTGGACCAGTCCTGGCTGTTGTGGCCATGTGAGGAATGAACCAACAGACCAAACAATCTGTCTCTCCCTTTCTCTCATTTGAATAAATAAATCTTTTTACACACACACACACACACACACACACACGTAAACCTAAAGAGCACAGATGTCTCACAATAGATTTTATTTGCAAAAACTGGTGGCAGGCCAGATGTGGCTTGTAAACTATAGTTGGTGGTCTAGAAAGTCTTCTCCAGTTCTGCTTGTTGAATTTCAACTTATCTTTTGAAGCCCTGACCCGAATGCCAAATTTCTCCATTCCTTCTCTCTCCTCTGCACTGGCAGCATTCTGCACTTCTACTGTACTACCACAATTTGATAGATTGCAGTGCTCTTCACTGTGAATATGTCTGTTTTTACCACTAGGTGGTTGATTTTCAAAGGATAAGAATGATGCTTTGCTTTTCTGAGTGTCTGAGGAAGCATTCAAGCACTTAACCTTACTGTTATTGTTCTATTTATGAAAAACAAAATTCCAAAAGAATTCAGGGATGTTATTTTCCCTCTAAAAAGGATACTACATCAAAATACCACTCAGTGAGACAACCCACAGCTATTAATGATTATTCTTTTTATAATTTACTAGATGTAAATATTTATTCTTATTTACTATTAACATTATGAATTCTTCACAAAAATTAATTATATTTTATTATCAAAATTTAAAATTACTTAATGAAAATAGTATAACTGCAGAAATTCTCTGAGTAAAATAATTTGACAGATAAAAATGGCAAAACTGTGAATTAACTAAATGATTGTCTCAGGAACAGTTGGGAAATTAGGGAAAAAAGTCTGATTTTGTTGAAAATTTAAAATTGATCTTCAAAATTTAAAGTAAGACAGAGGATAAAGTTTTGACCCGCATATTCTGTTGATTTAGTTGATTACAAAGTTCCTGGAGGAACTGACTAAAGTACTAATGGTCTTACTAATTGATAACATTCATTTTTCTGAGCCGTTGGAAAGAAGTTATCAAGTAAAATTGAGGTCTTTAAGCAATGACTAAAACCTCAGCATTACTACAAACTATACTACCAAATTCAAAATTCGCAATGATGACTCATTTGGGATAACATAATCAGTAGAATATTTTACCAGATTTTCAAAGGACACATTAAATAGCTTATTTCACCCTTATATTAGCAATTGTTCACTATAACACTATCAAAGTTAACATCACTGGTAAGCATAATCAATAACCCTGGAGAATAATTCAAACATAAATTTCTATATCAGAGTCCTTCACTATACAAACAATGACACAACAGCTTCTACCTTAAATACTAAGTAATCATAATATAATAATAATAATATAAAAGAAGAAACAAAATAGGTAAGTAAAACAGACAACATTTTACTTGTTTATTGAAGCTGTAGGTGAAGTCTGAGGAGTCTTTTCATCTTCACCTAGTGAACTAGTCAATTCAGAATCTTGAAACCGTTTCCCAATCTTGGGCCGCTTTAGATGACTACTCCGAGTACGTGTGGAAACAAATGTTTTATCATGACCTGAGGGAAAACAACACACTGCATTTAATTATGTATTTAAAGGACCACCAATTATAATCCACAGAAATACAAGAACGATGCTAATTTAGCCATTGCCCCGCCCCCCTGCATTATAAAGGTTTGCCCTTGCCTCACTTACGTCAATTTAAGACAACAAAGTCAGCATCTTTTTCTAAATACCCAATGTAGACATTATTATCCATATTTTTACGAGTAAGAAAAAGAGGTACAACAACTTGCTTACTCAGTGATGACATAGCAACATCAGTGGTAGTGGTGACACAGGAGCCCAGATCTAGACTTCATAGTTGAATAAGTCTTCACTTATTCTGAGTGACACAAACATGTGTGTGTGCATGCACAAACACACACACACACACTTGATTCTAAGGGTCTCAAATACTTATTGATAGATTAGCTGAATTTCTTACCTTCAGAAGTGCTTGCAAAGGTATCTTTTAGAGAATCAATCTAAAATGGAGATAGAGGTTAAAACCCTAAGTTTTAGACTGCATTTTCTCTCCCTATGCATGTATTTTATTCACAGCTTCAAAGAAAAACTTTTAAATGTTTTCAAATAAAACTTTTATTAAGAAAATTTACTTTAAGAATAAAAATGTGATGTTATACCCCCAGACTATGAGTCTGAGAACGTACACAAGCCACATATGTTACAGTGATACACACCGAAGCTGCCTGCTCTTCTTTTCCCAGTCACATGCCTTCTTAAGTCCAAGGGCTCTTCCTTTACTTTTACCTACTAGCTTTACTTCAGCATCTGTGGATAGTTGCTAGTGAATCCAAATATACAATTTAAGCTACAACTTCCTTCCTGATTTCTGAAGCTCAATTTCCAATGAAACACTTCCCAGTGGATATCCCATTCAATTTCCCATCCAGCCTGTCCCCAACAGAATTGTATCTTTCTACAATATTATTTCCTATCTAAGTTACTGGCAATAAAAATTCAGTCATTCTAGCCATTAACCTGTTAGATGGTAACTATTTCTTCCTAGCTCTCATCCAGATGTCAGAAAACCTATCAATTTTAACTCAAGAGGATGTCAAAACTGCTCCATCTTTTGTCTTACCATTTAGTTCAGGCCCTTAATATCTTTAACCTGAATTCTGCCAACAGCCCCTTTACTGGTATGCCCTGCTCAAATCACATCCAGTTTAATTCTACCCACCATGATGACAGAATGGTGCTTCCTAATCATAAATTGTGCCACTTCTTTGTTTCAAAATAGAAAAAAAAAAACTTTAATGCTTTATTATTGCTTCCAACTCTCAACCTCTTCAATACCAAATACCTTTTCCATATCAAACATGTTTCTCTCCTCTATGGTTTTTCTTATATGCTACCCTCTTGAATGCCCTAACAATCCTTTACAGAACACCCATTCAGCCTTTGCTGTATACTTCTAATCACTTGTTTTAATAATTAAGGCAATTATTATCCTGTAATATATTCATTTACCAACAATGACCATCTGGTTTCCCCATGAATATGACAATTGTTATTGGGATGTCCAGTACTTTATACCACTATGCATTCATCCCCCATACATTCACTGAAGCCCTACAATACAGTGGGCACATAGACTCCAAGATGGTCTAATTTAAAAGATAGTTTACAACAATTTATTGTATATTTCAACATAGCTAGTAGAGAGGATTCTGAAAGCTACTAACATGAAGAAATAATAAATTTTTGAGGTGATGGATATATTACCCCAATCTGTTCACTATACATTGTATACATGGACTGAAATATATTGTACCCCAGGGGCCGGCGCCGTGGCACAGTGGGTTAACGCCCTGGCTTGAAGTGCTGGCATCCCATATGGGCACTGGCTTGAGATCCGGCTGCTCCACTTCCGATCCAGCTCTCTGCTATGGCCTGGGATAGCAGCAGCAGATGGCCCAAGTCCTTGGGCCCCTGGACCCACGTGGAAGACCTGGAAGAAGCTCCTGGCTTCGGATCGGCACAGCTCCAGCCATTGCAGCCAATTGGGGAGTGAACTATCGGATGGAAGCTCTCTTTCTTTCTCTCTCTGCCTTTCCCCTCTCTGTATAACTCTCATTCTCAAATAAATAAATAAATCTTTGCAAAAAAAAAAAAAACAAATATAAATTGTACCCAATAGAATTCATATTGAATTTGTTGTGGAGTTTCAGATTTTCTTCACTCATTTATTAAGTAGTTTGTCTTTTATAATTAAATTATAAAAGTTATGCAAATATTCTGGAGGGTAGTCCTTAGTCAAATGTATATCCTGCAAATAATTTCTCTAGATCTGTGGCATTCTTATTGTTTTTCTTAATGGTATCATTTTGTGAGCAAACATTTTCAAATTCATTTTTAATTTTAAAAAAGCTTAACTTGTAAATTTATATCTCTTATTGCTACTTTTTTGTTTCCATTCTAAGTAATGTTTGCATATTCCCAAATCACAAAGAAAATAACTGATCTTTTCCTCCAAAGCTTTAAAGTTTACAATTTGATGTTTACATGTGTGCTATAATTTGATTCATTTTTGGAATATGTTGTGATGTAAATATTATCAAGTTATAATATCCATTTATTCTTTTGTTTGTTGAACAGACAAAATAAAATTGGGTTATACTGATACGTTAACAGAAAATCAAAGGACCAAGTTAATGTGGGTTTATTGTCTACCTATTCTATTCCAGTGTCTTTGTTGCTCTTTATGCCATTACTGTATTTCTTCATTGTGTAGCTTTATGGCAACTCTCAAAGAAATGTAGTATAAATACCCCAACTTTGTTCTTTCACAGAATTGCACTGGGTATTCTAGATGTTTTGCATATTCCTATGGAGTTTAAGAATCAGCTTGTCATTGTCTAAAATAAATTCTGCTGGTATTGTAAAAAAAAAATAAATTGTACCCAATAAATATGAATAATTATATGTCAACTAAAATTAGTCTCTTTATAGAACATAAAAAAGAAGCAACTGTGACATAAAAATCTTGTTTTCAAGAAGTTTGTAGTTAAACTAAACAAGGTTAAGATGTAGATAAAAAAGAAAAACAGTAAGAAGTATAAAAGTACTTGAGAAATACATGAAATATTTTATGTACAAAAATAGGAAAACACAAAAACCATCACCTATAGAACAAGTCATGCTGAAATACAAAACTACTTCCTTATGTTGCTGATAGACAAATACCTTAATGTGAGAAATATTTTCCTTTAACTAATTAAACCATAAAAGTATTACAGAGAATATGAACTTCCAAAATGAAAGAAAATCTAGTTTATGCTATCACTGTTATAACATGAGATCAGTAAAAACATATTCTCACTCATATGACATATTAACAGGAGCTAATATTAAAATTTGAAGTTCCAAATGTAGGAAAAAAAAAACTAAAATCTTACATATAGTCATATATAATACATATATAATATACATATTATGTTAACCTTAAAAATGCTTAAAATGTTTTCACTCAAACATAGTCAATTCTGCTAATTAAGACAGGAAATAAGAAGCACAAATAATTCCCTCAAAGCACTTTTCTCTGACATGTGTATGTATTTATATACATACATTCAACATGCATTAAAAAGTATTTGCATATACAATATATAACCATAACAAATGCCATCATGACAAAATTCTGCCTAAAAAACCGACTTCTAGAATGTATCAATAGGACCATATTTTAAATAATATCAAGAAGCAAAAACATCAGTTCCAGAAAAGGACCTGGTAAATTCTGAAGAGTTCAGTAACAGTTACATGGGCTAGGTAGGGAAACCAGTGCACAAAGGAGCTAGAAGGCTGCCAGCTGTCTCCTTGCTGTAGCCTAGCACTGCTAAAAACCCCACTCCCTTCCATGCCTATTTGGCATATCCACTTTCTCTTGGTGCACCTGAGCCTCACTTCTTCACCATGCAGAAGACACTGTGATAAACACATGTATACTAAGTTCCATGTGCAGACATCAAGAAACCTTCCTAGGCATTACCACACACACCACCAACCTCCTCCCCCAAACCGCATGCTATTTGAATATTCAATTAGGCACCACTTCCTACCCTACAAAGGGAGTAAATGAACTGGGGTGGGTACAACACTCCCTCACAAGGTTGCCCACATTCACCTCTCAATGTGTAGTATCTTTAAAATCTCCTTTAAATAAATATTGCTCCAATTCTTGCACTTTTTCTGTCTCTGCTTCAAATTCATCTCTCATGCTGAGACAAGAACCTGGAATAAATCCAGGTGGGGACCACTACCTTGTAACTCCTACAACACTAGGATCTATCCTCCTATTTTCAGAATACCTGATATTTGCAAACTGCACAGCTTCAAACATCATAATCCTTGAGCTATTACTAATTACATGTGCATGGAAATAATTACAAATGCACAATAATTCATGTATAAATATGTTTTTCCTGGGGCACTTCAAAAATGGAAAAACTTAAGTATCCTATGTTAAAGAAATAAATGGTGGTATCAACCTATTAACAGAATAGATATAGAAAAAAATAGAGCAGCACACTGCTACTTAGCAACTATGCTTTAAAACTGTAATGGCATGGAAAATGCTTAAAAAATTTATTTACAGAAAAAAAAGCAATTAAATGCAGCATAAACGAATAAAAGCAAAAATAAAATGTATATAAATACATGCTTCACAATATTAAAATACATATATAAAAGTTTTAACAGTGGCTAAATCTGAGTAGTAGGATTATAGATTTTCATTTTCTTCTATATTATTTTATGTATCTTCTAGATTACCTTTAGTTAATTTGTAACACTATCAACATCATTAGAATTATTTTTCAAAGAAAATTAAGTCCTTAGTAATCAATTAACAGAAGATACAAAACTAACACAGCTGAAATTACCTTCAGGTAATTTACATTTACAACATTTAAGTTTAAAATGCTAACTGAATCTATTTTAAAGAAATAGAAAATTACGCTCTAAAATGAACATGCAGTATACCTACCGTTAGCTGCATCTCACTGGTCTGAGGGTCTTCAGTTCTTGCTTCATATTCTGGAACAGATGCAAGACCATAGTCTCCAGATATAGGTCTCTTAGCTTCATTCTGAGAAACTGCTTTGTACAGAATTTTTAAAATTGAAACTTAATCAATATTTGATTAACTGTAATATTGTTTGTACTGGTTTTCATAAATGTTCTCAAGAGGGTACTGATGCTCTCTTCCTCAAGATCTTAAAAGGAAATCTTGCCGGTGATGCGGCTCAATAGGCTAATCCCCCACCTAGCAGCGCCGGCACACCGGGTTCTAGTCCCGGTCGGGGCACCGGATTCTGTCCCGGATGGTCCAAGTGCTTGGGCCCTGCATCCCATGGGAGACCAGCAGTAGCACCTGGCTCCTGCCTTCGGATCAGCACGGTGCGCCGGCCGCAGCATGCCAGCCGTGGCGGCCATTGGAGGGTGAACCAATGGCAAAAAAAAGGAAGACCTTTCTCTCTGTCTCTCTCTCTCACTATCCACTCTGCCTGTCAAAAAAAAAAAAAAAAAAAAAAAAGGAAATCTTGCAATTATAGAGAGTCTTCAATAGTTATTTTAAGTATATGGGGCTACTTTTAATACCCTGATGCCTATTTCATGTCATTGCAGTAATCTGGGTTTCTTCTTTTTTAAAGATTTATTTATTTATTTGTTTATTTATTTATTTGAAAGGCAGAGCTACAGAGATATTCTATTCAATGGTTCATGCACCAAATGGCTGCAATGGCCGGAACTGGACCAGGCGAATCCAGGAGCTTCTTCCGGGTCTCCCACATGGGTGCAGGGGCCCAAACATTTGGGCCATCTGCTGCTGCTTTCCTAGGTGCATTAGCAGGGAGCTGGATCAGAAGTGCAGCAGCCAGGACTCAAATTGGCACCCATATGGGAACTGCAGATGGTGGCTTTAGATGTTATGCCACAGTGTTGGCCCACATCTGTCTCTATTTCTAACCATGCTGTTAACACTCAGCTGAGCTCTTCTAAGTTCTTGTATTAGAAACTCAAAAATCAACAGATAATAAAAATTCCAACTTTAGACTAGAGGGTCTTTTACTATAAAGATTATAATACATCTGGACTATAAAACATAATGATTATTAGGCACTGCTTTTCAAACTGGTCTTGTGCTCAAACTGATAACATTCTTACCTGTATTTTTAAGCGCTTCTCTCTGTAATGCTCTGGTAACTGGTATTCGCTGGTACCAGTGTCCAACACCCTCAACTTCCCAAAGGAGTTCATGGTCTCCTGGGTACTTTTCAAAGTACTGTTTGCAAGCTGAAAAAGATTTATAATTTTCTACAAATCTCAGATTACCAACTGTTCTGAAAATCAGAAAGATGGAAACTGCCACAAGTAACTACTGAGGAAATGAACTTGTACTTTTATTTAATTTTAATTAAACTTCTTTCAAAATTAAGTTGGGGTACTCTGTTTGACTACATGGTTCTATTTGAAAATGATGCCATAATGATGTAAATCAGAAGATACTTAGTATAAAACAAAGGATTGCTACTCAGAGCATATAAAGAATTTTCAAAATTGAATTTGAGAGTCAAAATTGTCCCAGAGAAAAACTGGCAGAGGTTATGAACAGGAAAATTACACATAATAAAATTCAAATATACACAATAATAAGAGATGATAAACCTCACTAGTCACTGAGGAAATAAGATACCATTTTCACAACCATGGACAATAACAAGCATCAGGAAGGATAAGAGAAATGAAAACTCCTGTAGTCTGCTGATGGGAGAACAATTCTCTAATCGTAAAACTGAAGAAGCACTTTATGATCCAATTCTATTTCTAGGTATATACTCTAATACCCTGAACTTATGCACAAGACAATCATAATGTTTATTATAGGACTGATTTTTTTTTAAAGATTTTATTTATTTATTTGAGACACAGCGTTACAGACAGAGAGAGGGAGAGACAAAGAAAGATCTTCCATCTGCAGGTTCACTCCTAAAATGGCCGCAATGACCAGAGCTGAGCCAATCTGAAGCCAGGAGCCAGGAGCTTATTCTAGGCCTCCTATGCTGGTATGGGGTGCAGGCACTTGGGCCATTTTCCACTGTTTTCCAGGACTCACGCAGAGAGCTGGATTGGGAGAGGAGCAGCTGGGACACGAACCAGTGCCCATATGGGATGCTGGTGCCACAGCACTGGCCCCAGGACTGTTCTTCAACAGGGGTGGAGGATATCAGTTAAGTGTCTATCAGTGAGAGGTCATTAGGTACACAGTAAAATACTATACAGCTGTTAAAACAAATGAATTACATCTACCTAAATCAACATTGATAAATTCTTTTAAAACGCTCAGTAAAAAAGTGAGTCAGTGTATGTTTAAAATGATGCCACTGACATAAGTTTAAAAAACAATTAAACAAAATGGAACAGTCACTGTGAAAAACAGTTTGGCAGTTCCTCAGAAAGCTAAACATAGAATTACCATGTAACCCAGATATGTCACTCTCAGGCATATATCCAAAACACTGAAAAGCAGAGATTTCAAACAGATAACTGTACATCAATTTTTCATAGCGGTAGGGCAAGGACTCAACTATGTGAGCCATCACCTACTGCCTCCCAAGGCGAGCATTAGCAGAAGTAGAGACAGGACTTCAATTTTCAAAAGCTTGTAATATAAAACACGATAATGTTTCCTAAAACATATAAAGACATAGCAGGTATTTGGCCTAGCAGTTACGACATTGATTGGGGTGCCTGCATCTCATATCAGAGTGCTTGAGTTCAAGTCCCACCTTCACTCCTGATTCCAACTTCCTGCTCATGCACACTCTGTGAGGCAGCAGGTCCCTGTCATTAATGTGGAGACCTGGATTGAGTTCCCAGCCCCTGCCTTTGGACTGGCCCAGCCCTGGCTATTGAGGGATCTGGAGAATGAATCAGCAGATGGGAGCTCTGTGTCTTAAGTAAATGAACAAAAAAATTTTAAATGCAATCTTAACATTTAAAATATACAAAAATATTGTTAGGGGCCAGTGCTGTGGCGCAGCGGCTAATGCCTTGGCCTGAAGCGCCGGCATCCCATATGGGCGCCGGTTCGAGACCTGGTTGCTCCACTTCCAATCCAGCTCTCTGCTATGGCCTGGGAAAGCAGTGGAAGATGACCCCAAGTGCTTGGGCCCCCGCACCCACAGGGGAGACCCGGAGGAAGCTCCTGACTCCTGGCTTTGGATTGGTGCAGCTCCAGCCGTTGCGGCCAGTTGGGGAGTGAAGCATCGGATGGAAGACCTCTCTTTCTCTCTCTGCCTCTCCTCTCTCTATGTAACTCTAACTTTCAAAATAAATAAATAAATCTTTAAAAAATATATTGTTACAAACAAGTGAATGTCATTCAAGAATTATTGGATATACTGGAACATCAAGGAACTAAGCTAAAAAAGAATATTGAATCCAAGCCATCAAATGTAACTAGCATTATACTCTTCCAAGAGAGCTAGGCAAAGTTATAAGCAGAAAGTGATGGAGAGGTCACATGTTCTGAAATAGGACTATGAAAATTTCTGTTCTCAATGTATTTCTTTTATTAAAAATGATTAATTTATTTGAAAGGCAGACTGACAGAGAAAGGAGATTTTTCATTCACTCCCTAAATGCCTACAATAGCCAGGATTGAGCTAGATGAAAGCCAGGGCCTGGAACTATATCTGTGTCTCCCTGTGGATGGCAGAGACAAGATGTGTCATGATTTACTGCCTTCCCAGTGCATTCACAGGAAGCTGGATTGAAAGCAGAAGAGCTAGGACTCAAACCAGCAATCCAATATGGGAACTGGCATCACATGCAGTGGCTTAACCCACTTTGTCACAATGCCCACCTCAATATAGTTCTAAAATTAGTTTTACACTTCAGAGTCTTACAAAATTATACATTATAGTACTATCAATAAGATATTGTCAGGGAAACTCCCATCAAGATTGAAAGGCAAAGAATTCAATCCCATCGATCATTTATGCAGAAAGAAAACAGCTGATACTTATATGTAATTCATTTGGCACTAAATTTATTTATCATTAGATTCCTAGAACAGAGTCTTTTTTTTTTTTAAAGATTTATTTATTTATTTGAAAGTCAAAGTTACACACAGAGAGGAGACGCAGAGAGAGAGAGAGGTCTTCCATCCATGGGTTCAACTCCAGAGCTGGGTTGATTCGAAGCCAGGAGCCTGGAGCTTCTTCTGGGTCTCCCATGTGGGAGCAGGGGCCCAAGGACTTGGGCCATCTTGTACTGCTTTCCCAGGCCATAGCAGAGAGCAGGATTGGAAGTGGAGCAGCCGGGACTTGAACTGGTGCCCACAGGGGATGCCAGCACTGCAGGTGGCGGCTTTACCGGCTATACCATAGCACCGGCCCCTGGAACAGAGTCTTAAGGCATTCTGCCTTCAGCAGATGGCTTTGCATTCCTCCCCAAATTCAGTAAAGCAGTAATTACAGTATTCCACTCTAATATATAGACTTATAGAGAAAGTATGATTCAAGATGAGTATGTCATACTTGGTCTTGTTTTGTGGATAGTTTTTCATGCTAAAGAGGGAAGGATCTAGAATAAAAACATGTTTTCAAAGGAAATAAACATCTGATTTTAGATAGAAACAGTAAAATATATTTTATAAAAATATCCAATTACTTTTTTTACTTCATCAAGAAAAAAGTAGATATATTTACTTTATATAAATGGAAAAATAAACATACTGGTGGTTGCTAAAAAGTCACTCAATCATATATCCATACAATGGAATAATAAACAGCAATGAAAGTAAACATATTCACATGAATCCACATACAAGAAATTTTACAAACATAAAGATGAATTAAGAAATCAAATTGTGGTACTGGTGCTTTGCTTAGGCTGGACCTCTGCCTGCTGTACTGTCATGCCATATAGGTGTCGGTTTGTGTCCAGGTTGCTCCTCTTCCGATCCAGCTTTCTGCTATGGCCTGGGAAAGCAGTAGAAAATGGCTCAGGTGCTTGGGCTCCTGCACCCATGTGGGAGACCCAGAAGAAGCTCTGGGGTTCAACTTGGCCCAGTCCTGGCCAAGCAGCCATTTGAGGAGTGAACCAGGGAATGGAAGATCTCTCTGTCTCTTCCTCTCTCGTTTACCCAAAGATGATATAGAAATGGCCAATAAATTCAGGAAAAGATGCTCTACATTGAATCTAAAACAAATCTACAATGTGACGCTACTTGGAAGGGATATGTTACTTCTGGTAATGTAAAATAAAGCGATCGTGCAGGAACAAAATGTGGTATGTCTTCAGAGTAGAATATTATTCAACCATAAAAAATAAAGAACTAATTTATGCCACAACATGGATGAACCCTGAGAGCATTACATCAAGTGAAAAAGTCAGGCCCAAAAAGCTACACACTGTATGATTTCATTTTTATGAAGTGTCTAGATACAGGAAACAGATTAACAGTTGCCAGAGGATAGTGAAAGAAGAGAAAAGGAAAATGACTGTTAATTGGTACAGGGTTCCTTTATGGAATGAGAAAAATGTTCTGGAATTAGTAGTTATGGTAACACAACTAGGATTACACTAAAAACTATGGAATTGTAATTTTAACAGGCTCAATGTTATAACATGTGAATTATATCTAATTTTTTTTAAAGGCTACAATATCCAAAAAAATGCCATATAGTTGAGGTAAGGGCACACTGACAAAAGCAAGGTAAAGATTACTCTTTTATATATATATATATATATATATATATGTGTGTGTGTGTGTGTATATGTGTGTATATATGTATATATATGTGTGTGTGTATATATATGTATACACACATGTGTTTACAATATTCTGGAGAATTAAGTCACAAGATAAGTTTAACATTTTTTTAACTTAGTCCATTTACCTGTGTACATAAGAGAAGACAGTGGATACCTCAAGCCAAGTGCATCTTCTGTAAAGGAATCAACAAAATCCTCCAGCATATGAAGCCCAAAATCTTTTCCTCTAAACTTCTTTCTTATAAACATTGTATCAAGAACTGGCAGTTGGTAACTTTGGGTAAGAAATGAGGCACATATGCTTCCTGCAGTAATGAGAACAGAAACCAATTTTTCACATTAAAAAATATATATACATTTAGCAAACATGAGTAAACAATCTTTATAAAAGAAGGCTTCTCTCCATACATTATGAAGAATGGGAGTGTTCAATGCAATTCCACTTGGGATGCCTATGTCCTCTAACAGAGGGCCCAAGTACAAATTCCTGTTTGGCTTCTGATTCCAGCTTCCTGCTAATGCACATCCTGGTAGGCAGCAGGTAATGATTCAAATACAGGGTCTCTGCCACCCATATGTGAGACCCTAATGGAGTTCCCTGCTCCTGGTTTTTGCCTAGCCTATGTCCAGCTGCTGCAGGCATTTGGGGAGTGAACCAGAGGATGGAAGCTCTCTGTCTTTAAATAAAGTGAAAATGAATAAAAATTTTGAAAAAGAATGTTAAGTGTATAAATGTTATATTTTCCTGCTATTAGGTATAATGCAAGTACATGATAATGAGAAGAGCTTTGTATTTACTGTTTGGCAACAGTATTATTTAATATAGGATAAATAGCTCACTGCCATCATCTGAAATACACATTCAACTATATGTATTATATATATTGTCTATAGACCTACACAGTTTTGAAACTCATCAACTATAAAAATTCTCAAAGAATATTTGATGAGTGTATATAATTTATAAAGACATGAAGTATTTAATTGCAATCTTACTACCTTTTACTTTCTCTTCCCTTTACTTTCCCCCTACTGAGTACAAAATCATTTTTGTTTACTTGATAATCGTTAAAAAAAATGTGAATTAGTTCTTCATTTTCTAAGGACTAAGGATTAGGACTAATTAGAAACATTTGCTTCAGAAATGGCCAAGTCAGCAAACTTTTTGCTATAGATATAACTCTAAATATATTTTCTATGTTTAATGTTAAAGAGGAGAAATAATTTGTAGTATCTAAATATGTATCTTATTATATACTATGCTGATTTTTCTTTAAAGAACACTGCTGTATATTTGGGTTCTAGTTCCAGTACTAACACAGTCTGAAGATCTATTGCTGTTGACTATGGTGCTTGTTTTGGTTTCCTATAAAAGAATACCAACTGGGGTGGGTACTGTGGTACAGCAGATCAAGTCACTACTTGGGATGCCTGCATCCCATATCAGAGTCCCAGCTAGTCTCAACTTCTGATCCAGCTGCCTGTGAATGTGTGTAAGTTCCTGCCACCCATGTGGGAGACAGAAAGAATTCCTGGTTGATGGATTTGGCCTACCTGTTGCAGGCATGTGGGGAGTAAACTAGTAAATGGGAGATCTCTCTCTCTCCATTTTTCCTTCCCTGTCACTGTGTCTTTCAAAACAATCAACAAATCTTTAAAAAATAATTCTAATTGCATGAAAAAATTTCCTATAAATCAGACTTTTTCTGTTTTCCCACAAAATTTCCTTCTAATAAAGAAAAGGTAAATTCTAACATCTTAGAGTGGTATTAAAATGGTCAATTTTTGGAATAGCATCCATGAAGTTTAAGGTTCTATTTACTTGCCATGCACTTCAAAAAATCATGCTGGTTCTCTTCCTTCCTTTGCCTGAATTTTAAATACTTCCACTGTGTAGAATCCTACTTTCATACAAATGCAATCAAATAAAGGGCAGAAAACCTTCCCAATCACCAGTCTTTTTTTGAAAGTCAGACAGACAGAAAGAGATCTATTTTCCACCCTTTTCACTCCCTAAATGGCCGTAACAATTGGGACAGGGCCAGGCCGAAGCCAGGAGCCTCAAGCCTCTTCCAGGTCTTCCACGTGGGTGCAGGGGTCCAAATACTTGAGCCATCATCTGCTGCTTTCCCAGGAACATTAGCAGGGAGCTGGATCAGAAGTGGAGCAGCTGGGACTCAAATCAGCACCCATGTGGGATGCCAGTATTGTAGATGGCAGCTTAATCCAGTACGCTACAATGATAGCCCCCACCAGTCTTAAGACACATCAACAGCTACAAACAGCAGCACAATAAATTAACAAAGCAGAACTACAACCTGCTGCTTTAGGTGAAGTTTCATTAACTTGATTAACTCAAATTACATTAAATGTAGCATTGCACATGATAAAGTGAATATATTCCTCAAAGTTCCATCTCTGGACTTCTTTTCTTTGTATATGCTCTTTCTGGGTGATCTTATTTATTCCCAAGACCTCTACCATTTTTACAAACGCTGATGACCACTGATGTCTACCCTTAACCTCTCCTCTGTAATGCATAATTACTCCAAGATCAGGAGAGTGCTCATTCAAATGTAATAAAAGCCAGGAGAGGATCATCTCAACATAGGAGAAAAAAAGATCTGACAAAACTCAACACCTTTCATGATAAAAATTAGCCAGCTTCCTCAATCTGATAAAGGGCATCTACAAAACACTCACAGCCAACATTATACATAAAAAGCAGGAACAAGAAAAGAATGCTCACTCTCATCACTGGAGGTTCTAGTCAGGGCAATTAGGCAAGAAAAATAAATAAAAGGCATCCAGATGGAAGAGCACAAAGCAAAATTCTATTTGCAGATGACATGATCTTGTATATGGAAAATCAAGGGATCCCCTAAAAACCTGTTAAAACTAATCTAAAGTTCAGTAAGGCTGAAGACGCTAGACAAATACACAAAACTTAATTGTATTTAATGCATCTGCTAAGAACAACCCCAAAACGAAATTAAGAAAACAGCTCTATTTAAAATAACATAAAAAATTAAGGATAAATTTAACAGAAATGTAAAACTTGCACACTGAAAACCATACTGTTAAATGAAATTAAGAACTACTAAGTAAATGGAAAGATATCCCGTGGTCCTATATTGTTAAAATGTCAATGATACACAGATTCAAAATCCCAGCTGGAATATTTTGCAGAAGTTGAGAAACTGATCTTAAAGTTCATAAGGAAATCAAAAGAACCAAGGGGCCAGCTTTGTGGCGTAATGGGGTAAGCTGTCACCTGTGATACATCCCACTTGAGCACAGTTCATATCCTGGCTGCTCCACTTCTGATCCAGCTCCCTCCTAATAGCCTGAAGGCTTGGATCCCGGCTTCAGCCTGGCCCAGCCCTGGCTATTGTTGGTATTTGGGGAGGAAACCAACATACAGAAAATCTCTGTTTCTCTCTGCCTTTCAAGGAAAGTGAAAATGAATTTAAAATTGAAAATCACGCTCTCTGGCATCTGACCACATAAGGGAGTTCTCACTTTAAAATCCTGACTATAAAACTGCAGTAATAAAAATAGTACATAATGGGCAGAATGAGTACAGAGAACAATGGAACAGAACTGAGGGTTATGATCAACTGATTTTTGACAGGGGTGCCACAACCATTCTTTGGGGAAAAATAGTCTTCTCAATGAATGGTGGTGGGACAACTGGAATATCTCAAGCTTTTTAAACGTAAATGAAACAAAAAATGTATATATATGACTCCAAAAAACCATTTATAATCAGATTTTTAAAAGACAAGCCCCTAAAACTGCTCTTTTCCCAGTTTATCAGTAACTCTCCACCATTTGCCCAGGTACTCAGAACAAATGTCCTAGAACCCATTCTCGACTGTTTCCCTTCACAACCCATATACTAACCATCAGAAATCCTGCAAAGTAGCTTGATAACTTATCTCAAGTAAGAGCACTTCTCACCATTGTTACTCTGTCTCCCTTGGGCCCACCATCACCACCTTTCACTAGGGCTTCTACAACAACCCTTAACAAACTTAAGGCTTAATCACCACCCCCTACAACCCTGCACCCTTACACCCTTGTACTCCGTTTTGTATACAGAAGTTAACTTTTTAAAAGGCAAATTAAAATTAGATCATGTTACTCCCACCCTGAAAGCCCATCAATGGCTCACTATTTACTGTTTATCACAACTCTCCCACACTATCAGCTGAGGCATCAACAGCTAAAGGTGCACATGGTGTTCTACCCTGCAGGTTTGTGTACTAGGCTGTTGACCAGCAGTACCAGTTTGTCAGCAGAGCCTCAGTTCTCATTAACATAGCTGCAGGAACTTCCTCACCACATAGTGAGGGGTGATATAGTTCTATTTTCTTTCTTTTCTTTTTAAAGATTTTATTTGAAAGAGATCCTCTATCTGCTGGTTCACACCCCAGATGGCTCCAACAGCCAGAGCTGGGCTGGGTCGAAGTCAAAAGCCCAGAGTTTCTTCTGGGTCTTGCACATGGGTACAAGGGTAGAAGCACTTGGACCAACTTCTGTGGCTTTCCTAGCTGCATTATCAGGGAGCTGGATCAAAGTGGAACAGCCAGGTCTCGAATCAATGCTCCTATGGGATACCAGCATTACATGTGGCAGTTTTACTTGCTAAGCCACAACACCCGCCCCAGTTCTATTTATTAGAAGATGACTAGTTTCTGACGGTACCAAAGTGGAAACTGCCATTTATTATTGTTTTTTTTGGACAGAGTTAGACAGTGAGAGAGACAGACAGAGAGAAAGGTCTTCCTTCCATTGGTTCACCCCCCAAATGCTGCACCGATCCGAAGCCAGGAGCCGGGTGCTTCCTCCTGGTCTCCCATGCGGGTGCAGGGCCCAAGCACTTGGGCCACCCTCCACTGCCTTCCCGGGCCACAGCAGAGCTGGACTGGAAGATGAGCAACTGGGACAGAATCCGACACCCCAACCAGGACTAGAACCCAGGGTGCCGGCGCTGCAGGCGGATGATTAGCCAAGTGAACCACGGCGTTGGCCAAAACTGCCAGTTTTAAGGGTTAGTACTGTGTCACACAACTTCAAGTCCAGGTTAAACGAAGTTATGGAGCCACTCCAGAATCAAGCAGGCTATACAAGGATATGAATACTGAGAAGTGTGGTTCAACTGGAGACCACCAATGAAACAGACTACCACAGGAACCCAGGTTAGTTCTATTTTATGGCAGCCTCACTCTCTACTCCCCAGATCCTCTGCATTCAGCAGATAAAGAAAAAAGAATGCATCACAACCACCCTGCCTCAAAGC